ACGCTCTCATCCGCTCCGTCGGGACAGTCTTTGTCCCCATCACACTTCCAGCGTTGAGGCACACACATGTGGGAGCCGGGACACTGGAAAGCCTCGGGGCTGCAAGTCTTGGATTCTGTGACAATAATTATTGGGAATTTAAATGATGATGTCAGGAAATCTGTGTACAAGGTAATGCTTCCACTTGGCATGGAAACATTTGAAAGTTAATTAATATGTTACTTACTGCATTTCTGGTCCTCATCAGAACCATCTCCACAGTCATCAGAGCCGTCACACACCCAGTGGCTGGAAATGCAGCGATGGTTCCCACATTCAAACTGGGTGGATGTACAAAATTTGTCTGCAAAGGAGAAATAATTTAACTTACAGTGTGAACGTTTTCCCATGGGCAGTGGGCAGAAAATAGAACATTTAGAAAACTATTATACTGTGCATTTTCACAACAATAATTACTAGAGGACAACTTGTTGACTAACCGCAGTGTGTCTCATCGGCTCCGTTCTCACAGTCATTCTCCTTGTCACAGGTCCAGCTCATAGGAATGCAGCGACCACTGGGGCAAGCAAAGAAGTTGACTGGACATTTGAGCTTCCTTTTATCTGCAAGAACACACAGAGAAAACCCAATCTGAAACAGCTGACAATTGTATAAACCCAGAAAGCATTTAGAAAGAAGACAAAGCACCCAACCTGGGCAGTTTCTCTCATCTGAATAGTCTCCACAGTCATTGTTGCCGTCACACACCCACGTGGACAGATAGCACAGCGTCGTCTTCTCACAGCTCTGGAAGGACACTCCTTTCACTCCCAGGCGGAAGAAACGTGAGCAATCAGTGGGTTCTGAGAATAACGGAAAAAAAGGTAAAGATATCTTAACTAATCCATTCAGATCATTTCCCACCATTTAATTGATGATTATTGTTCAATTTTGTTATTTAACTCTTATAGATTTTATTTTGAAATCACCAGGGTACATTACTTACGGCAGTTTATTTCATCACTAGCATCCTCACAGTTGACCACCTGGTCACAGCGGCTGAAGTTGGAAATACAGCTTCCGTCTTTACACTGGAACTCCCCCACTTTGCACAAGGTCACTGCAGGATGCAAGCGCCAATTTTATTTTGGGTAAGCAAAAAGGTTGGGTGGAGAAAATATAATTCCAGGCTGACATCTCTCGAACCCGTAGTGATTTGTCGTTGAGCTGCAGCTATAAAAGTGGACATAAATTGCTTACTGTTGCAGGGCAGTTCGTCCGAGTGGTCACCACAGTCATCCGTGCCATCACACCAGAACTGGTGGCCGATACATCGGCCATTCATACAACGCCTGTAGCCTTTCTTACAAATTCGGTTGGCTGCAAAGGAACAGCAGTTGATTTGAGTTAGCTTGTGTCCAGAGTACTTTTTTTGCATACAATCAATACGATTCTTAAAATAACTGTTATTTTATATATGAAACCAATAAACTATGCTACATATTCTGCATCAAAGAAACTACTTGTATCTAACCTAATGATCTAATCATTTATTGTAATGTTGCTTTGATTAGAACCATCAGCAACTATCTGAAAATGATAAAATATAAATGTTGATCTCTGAAAGTAAATGAGTCATCAACTAATATTCCCTTAAAAAACTCACCACAATAGGACTGCTTCTCATCAGACTTGTCCTTGCAGTGCGCCATGCCGTCACAGGTGAGGCTGTAGTTGATACAGTCGCCGTTTCCGCACTCAAAGTCATCCACACTTCCGCATGACACATTCAGCGCTGGTGAGGTAGAAACATTTAATTTAACATTTAATCGAGAGGTGGAACATTGTATTACAAAATCATCCAAGACTTCCTCTTACAGGAGCAGGTGTTGTCCTCTAGGAGTTGTCTGTCACCGCGGCAACTGCAGTTAACCCGTCCATCAGATGTGGGCAGACACAGGTCTTGACAACCTCCGTTATTTGATCGACAAGGAGAAAACTCACCTGAGGAAGATATAACGCAGGAGGGTTAGTTAGTTACGTGTCCTTGTGGAGAAAATATGAGCAGAAAACCAACACAATATGATATTATATATACACACACATATACAAATAATCAAATGCAGTGTGCACAAAGTAACTTGGACCATAACTTAATAACAAAATTCATTGTAAAAGATAACGAGCCTACTGATAATAGTGCCCTGGTGAGGCTGAATGCTTACTTTAGCTTGTTAGCATGCTAAAGGGCTGAGGGGAATATGCAGGTATTTGGCATGCTTGTTGTATTTCAGTCCGATCCAAAAGGTGCGGACTGACAAGGACAACCGTAATCGCCACTACCTTGGACTGAAAACTATGTAATCGTGTATTCGAGAGGAGCAACCTACACAAACTTTACAGCCAGCTCGGTGATGAATACTTACAGCTGTTGGTGTCATTAGCCACAGCCACAATGCCCATTGGCTGCTGAGGGATGTCGGCGCGCAGCACTTTCATGTCACTTCCGGTGTATTTGTCGGCCCTGAGGACGGCCCTCCTCACCCAGTCAGTCCAGAAGATGTAGTCTCCATACACGGCCAGGCCGAACGGATGCACAGGCTCATTCTTCAACAAGACCTGAAGCGGGAATATTCACGCATCGTTTCACACAACTGTCAACGGCCTCGATGCAGCCAGATGGAAGCGTAAAAGGTTCTTACGTAACGGCTGCTTCCATCATATTCGCAGCGTTCGATCTTGTCCAGCGTAGCGTCGGAGAAGTAGAGTTTCTCGGCGCGGTGATCTATGGCCAATCCGTTGGGAGTTTTAATGTTACTACCGATGATTGCGAGCACGTTGGCGCCATTCAAAGAGGCCCTCATGATGCTCGGAGCCTGCTCATTCCAGTTGGTCCAGAACATAATACTGTCGTGGGAGGAAACACGGGAAAAGCATATTGATGCACAGTGGGCGCTCTTAAAAATGTGCCGGATTTAAATGTCGCATTTAGCTGAACTAAAGATGGATCTAGTGTTCAAAAGAAACTAAAAGGGGGAACCGGGCTCTGACAGCGCATGAGTTTTGATATCAATGACTCACTCCTGACACTCGTCCAGCACAAAGGCTCGGGGGTGGTCCTCCCCAGACATGGTGACCACAGTGTTGCGATTGTAGGCCACAGAGCGGCTCTGGTCCACAGTGTGGCGAGTGATGGTTGAGGTTGTGTAACTGGTCCAGTAGAGCGTATCCCAACCACGGTGGTAGGCCAGGCCCTCAACTGACCCCACGTCTGTAGAGCAAAGAAGGAAGACGTCTTTAATTGTAATAAATAGCATTGACTGTTATTGGGAACTTTAATGAGGATTCAAGGATTCAAGAAATCATTAAACCTCGTTATAGTTTTAGTATTAAAAATAAAAGGTTAAAAAGAAAAGTGATAAAGAATGTGTAATGATGGTGGCACCATACAGAGCAGAGAATGTGACACACCAGCTGTTTCTGGAGCGAGTTTAAAGCGTCTGATCATCCTGTTATTTCATGGCTGGCTGGCTGCACATACAAATACAGATCATTCATGCAGACTTCTACTTCTAGGGAGAAAACTGTCGCTGAACAGCTTGAGTCACTTAAGGAACATGGGCCAGGGTAGAAAAATTAAATAACTAAAATCAATGATCAACTTGTTTGCCATTGTCCTTTTGTCCTGCTACCCTCCACTCATAGTACATACAGTAGTAGTAATAGTAGGTCAACTGTGTACATGTACATGACGCACAACTTCATGGGAGACAGTGTACTGCAGCCTCAAGGGATCCAAAATGTGCATCCATCTGTTCTTGGTCACCTAGCAACCATTTTTATGACCACTTATCGAGAACAATAAAAACCTGAACACTCCACTCGACTGTTTGCCCTTTGTTGAAAGTCATTCAATAGCTCTTTCAAATGAGTGACGAGGTGCCATAATCAAGCTCACTGTGAAATGTTTTGTAAAACCGTGTGAACCAAAATAAATGCAACTAAACAACCTGCTGTGGGTCAAATACAAAGTCAAGCAAACAAAGTGTGTTTTTCGCCCACAACAATCAGGTCTGAGCTAAACAGAAAAAAAGAGCTATAAGAGGAAATATCACAAACTAATAAAAACAGTATGTCCGAGCTGGTATTATGTTATGAGAAAAACCTCAGTCTCCCCTCCCCTTTCCGACATCAGCTCAGCCTCAGGTCACTGTGCAAACAGTGGTAAAAAAGCAGAGTCTCTTTGACCGTTTCAGGAGAAGTGAAGCGATCAAAGTGACCGAGAAATACTTATCTTTTTTTTACTGTTCATTTTATGATCATTTATTGCTTCAACGATTGGAGTCATGTGAATCGTTCAGTAACTCTTCTGCTGGGGACACCGACAAGATTGCTCGTCTCTCCCTGAGCTTCAAAATGCACAAGATGCCTCCTGTCGCGGTCGCCACTTAGCATCAAGTAGCATTGACTGCTTTTAAAGTGGAATGTCAGTTAGCAACCACTGGGATTAATTGTCGACTGGTTTCAAGAAATCCATAGTCAGAGTGTAATTGCTGCACTGACTTCTCTCCGCTTTTTCTTTTTCCTTGGATTATGAAGGACATGCTGATGCAGCGATGGAAAGTCCACTGCTCTGAAAGGTCATGTATAACTGTTTTTTTTGGAGTCAAACTGGTTAACAATGGGTAGTTATAATTCTTCCAATAAGAGGGAAAACAGTTAAGGGGACACAATTGGAGGGACATATGTCACATTTAGGATTCAACCAGAGCAGGAGGACGTTACAACTTGACTCTCTTTGGGCACTTGAGGATTGTAAACTTTTTTGAAGACAAAGTCAACTGACCAGTGTGACGTTCACTACTAATAACTGTCATCATGAGAGCACAGGCTGACTTAATGGAGTGTGGTCATACATGTGATTAATACAATTTAAGACATGAACTGGAGCAAAGAGATGCTTCACCCAGACACAACGGGAACATGCTGCTCTGATGGTTAACATTTACAGGCCATTAGATTAATTACTCAATAGATTTCTACTGTGAATGCATGGATACTTTGATTCAGCAAGTAAACGGCAGCAGCGTTGAGCAAATGGACGCTGCCGATGAGTCTTCCATCAGGGCTTTTGTTCCCATCCTGGACGGACTGATTCTGGTGACTGGTTTGCTGGGTCAAACCCTGGTCATCATCATTCTTACAGGCAGGAGGCGGAAGAAAAGTCAACCGCCCCATGGCACAGACACCCTGCTGCTGAGCCTGAGTGCCGCAGACCTGCTGCTGCTGCTCCACCTGCCTTTCCACACCTCTGCCATCACCCTGGGCTTCTGGGCCTTTCGGCGGCTTCATGTGCAAGGCCATCAGCTTCCTGGGCGTGGCCTGCTCCGCCGCCTCAGTCTTCACCCTGGCAGCTTTGGCAGTGACGCGTTACCTCACGGTGGTGCACCCCACCTGGGCGTACCGGTCGAGAATGCACCGACGCGTTAAGCTGACGGTAGCTCTCCTCTGGATCCCCGCCTCGGGCTTGGCGGCGCCGCAGTTTGCCTTCCGCACGGTCACCGCCTCCAGCGCGGTGTACTGCTTCGCCTTCCTGTCCGACTTCAGCCAGCTGGTCTACGGCATTGCCCTCTTCCTGTTTGGCTTCGCGCTACCCCTGAGTATCATTGTGCTAATGTACGCCAAGATCTACTGTTTCCTCCGACATGCACGACTGCTGGGGAACGCTCCCCAGCTGGAGCGCTACCAGAGCCAGGTCACTCACACTTCAGCCCTCCTGGTCCTGGTCTTCACTCTGCTCTGGCTGCCCTCCTATGCACTCATGTTCTCCTTCATCGGAGGAACCGTGATCGGCTCACCTGGACACAAAACTATTGCAATCCTGGCCAGACTGTTGGCGTCCTCCGTGGCAGTGGTGAACCCTGTACTATACGGGTTCATGTCCCGGAAGTTTCGACAAGAGTTACTGGAGCTCGGGAGGAGACGATGCGCATGGTGCAGAAACTGTCTGACTGGTTGCCCTGATGTGATGAGCAGGGACGTGGTACTGCCCTTTGAACGGGACACAACTTTAGAAAGAAGCCAAAACTGACTATTTGGCCAGTTGGAACATTACATTACACTGGTATGTATTCATTAAGGTAAAAACTCATTCATGTCTAAACTAAAATTCGTATTAAAAATGTGATAATATGAATTGATTGCAAAGTCTAATGTGAAACCAATGTTTATTCCTCTAACCTCAGCTGTGGTAAATTTACCTAAAATTGGAATAAAATACTAAAACAAACAATCTCTTTCTCAAACCGTTCAAAACAACATCAATAAACACACTAACCCCACGCGATTCATTCATTTTTCTAACTTTGCATGTCTTGATTGGTAGTGGTGCTTGCTAACAGCTTTTGGGTTCAGAGCTTTTAATCGAAATGCTTCTGGATGGTTTTCAAAAACTGTCTCTTGAATCATTGAATGTGTGTGAGATTTAAAAGACATAGTTTTCAGTGTCTAAACACGCAAAAAGACAGCGAGTGTGCCCGCGCATTTGTGTGTGAAAGTGCGTCTCCTCGTCAAGTGGCAGCCTTAAGTGATGCCAATCACCCTCAAGTTGTGAAGCTGCAGCTGTGTGTACATGCAGTGGATCCTTCTAAGTGCATGTGTTGTCAAAATGAGTGATGATTGCCGTTTAAAATGAAGTGTATAGTGGCAACATTCAATTATTATTATTGTACAGGAAAAAAAGCACCGACACCGACGCTGCTGAAATACATGCAGAAACACGGAGTGGAGGGAAACGTTTGGGTCAGAGTGATGTCGTCGGTGACTCCATACTTACTGTCCACCACAATCTTGCGGTCCGTGCCGTCGTCGTTGATCTGCTGGATGTTGCCAAAGTGGATATCGCTGAAGAAGATGCGGTTGGCCCCTTTCCCTCCACCGCCATGGTAGTCGTAGCTGAGGGCGATGACGTTCTTCATGTGGTCCGGGTCCTCGAACGGCTTTATCGGTGCGTTGAGGTTCGTCTCATCGGACAGGTGGATGCTCTTCAGAATGGTACGCTCAGAGTACAACAGGTAGCCGTCGTAGTCGCGGCACCCGCGGTTGTCCTCCGCCAGCATGCCGTGAGCACAGGCGCAGGTGCGCTGCCCGTTGCCGCGGAAAAGGCACAGCTGTTCACAGCCGCCGTTGTCTTTGCAGACGTTGGTGCCTGGGGAGTAGAGTTTATGAGGTGGTGTTAAGAACCGATCACGAGCCTTGTTCAACTTCAATTTCCATGGGAGTTAAATGTTTATAGCATTGTGTTTGTGAGGGAATGTTTGGGTGTAAACCCAAACGGATCAACAAAAAGAACGCTCTTTCTGGGTGTGTGTGGTTCAGTTCAGGGTTCCTACCTTGCTGCCTGGCCCTGTTGAAAACTTTGATGTCTTTCAGCTGTACACCGATGCCCGTCCTTAGCTGCACAGCATCCGTGGCGTTGTCTTTGTTGCCTCTCTTAATGGAGCCATTGGCATGAGTTCTAAACAAGAGGCAACAAAACCGATTCAATTAACAGTATGATATAATGTAAACATCTTGCACATAATAAAAGAGATTCCTCAATGGTTGTTTTATGTAATTAAACAACCTCTGAACTAACCTGTCACTCCAGTAGATGAATTCCTCAAAAACAGAGACAGCAAACATGTCCATGTTGTTGTTAGCCAGCACCAGCTCCCTGTTCTCTCCCGTCTCCAGGTTGATCCGCTCGATCTTGTCTGTCCTGGCGTCGCACCAATACAGCATGCCGCCCTGCAAAGACAGAGCATTAATGCAATAGTGATGATTATTTAGGGAAGCCAACATTTTCAAACTAAAAAGGAAAAGTAAACTGGCATGCTGGTACACTGCTAATTTATACCAGATAAAATGGAATAAACAAAGTGACACCTCTAGCTTCTTCGTTATAGTTCAAGTATAGCATGCAAAGCCCACCTATTTTTGTAATATATATATATATGCCGCAGAGAGTAAAACGTGCCAGTAAAGCAAAAACGCCCAGAAACAACTTAATAATGACAATTCGCTTTAAAGCGGTTTTGCTTTGATGTCGATTGTGGTCCACACCTCGTAGTCCACTGAGATTCCGTTGGGCCAACTGATGCTGACATTGACCAGGACCATCCTCTGGGAGCCATCCAATCTAGAGCGCTCAATACGAGGGTACTGACCCCATTCAGTCCAGAACAGATACCTGCAAAAGATATATAATATAAAATCACCAGCAATCCGTGCAAGTAACTGAAGGCCACAAAATTACAGAAGGCCAAATTTAACTGTTGCCAGTGCCACTTACCCTTTCACTGGGTGAACAGTGATGGCTCTGGGCTTGTCCAGGCCCTGGGAAATGACTACATAGCGGAAAGAGCCATTCAGCCGAGCCACCTCGATCACGTCAAAGCCCTGGTCGGTCCAGTAAATATTTCCTATAAAAGAACAGAGACGTAAATCAGCTACGTAGTCCTGGACAATATCACTCAAAGAGGAGATTTTAATTCTGTCACGACTAGACCTGCAATCCAGTCGACTGTGATGCCCTCCACCCTGCCAATGCCGTTGGTGACAACATCTTCTCTCCAGGTCTGATCTCTCTTAGCCCTGCTGATGGTGCTCAGGCCCATGTCCACCCAGTAGATGGTGTCGTTCTCTGAAAACCAAGACGCCCTTTGTGTCAACCTTTGAATGCTCACTTCACTGGAGATAGTGACAGCTTCAAAATGTCACTCAAGCAATGTCCTCCGGTTACTGATGTCACTCACCGGCGTGGAAGTCTATGCCGACGGCAAGCGAGGTGCCAGACACTGGCACCAAGGCGTCAGATTTGTCTGCCGGGTCGAGCGGAATTCCTCTAATTCCCTCGTGAACAGAGTAAAGTAGGAAGGAGCCCATTCCTGCTCAGAGACAGCATACAGCAAACTTGTTTTTAGGTCTCGCAGATTTCCTACAGTGTGTGTGACTGTGGCTCTGAAGTGTTGTCTTACCTTCACAGGACTGCTGTCCTGTCTTGAGGCTGTAACCAGCTGTGCACATGCAGGCCCTGGTTGTTGGTGAGGTGGGCAGACACAGTTGGGAACAGTCTCCATTGTTGTTACTGCACAAGTTGATCCCCGCTGAAGGAAGAAGAGTGGATCCGTGAGGTACAAAAGGTTCTTTACTAGTTTTGTGCTCCATAGAGCGTTGACATGCTCGTTGAAGTGAATTTAATCTAAATTGAATATGTGGGATTAATATTTCTTACCATTCTGCACATCCTCATCGTAAATCCTCATGTGCATCATAGGGGAGGTGTTGTTTCGCAGTACCTTCCAATTTCCTCCGTCCGCCTTGTCACATGTTCCAATCTGGTCAGTTCCCTGATCGGCCCACCACACCTTGTCTCCTACAGTGTGGGGATTTCATCAGTATATTTGTATTTTTGTTACACATTTAACATAACCAGTGATTTCTAAGCGCGTCATTTTTTTTCAACATACCCATAATAGCCAGTGCAGTAGCCTTGATAAGTTTGCCTCTAACACCTTCAAGGATTTCCAGATTTGTCCCATCCAGATGACAGCGGCTAATGGTGCTGTTTCCTGAGCTGATCCAGTAGAGCTGCTTGTTTTCGTAGTCTATGGACAGGCCTGAGTGGAACGCATCATAATGCTGTTATAGAAATGCAGCCTTGATCTGAGCTTTTACACCACAGGGTTGAATATGCATCTCATATTATTTTGCTGACAGTTGTCAGTTACACATGTGCTCACCCACTGGTCCTTTTTGATCGGTGAAAAGTACAGTGCTGTTACTACCGTCCATGTTAGCCATGCTTATGTTGTCACCATCAGTCCAGTACAGCTTCCTGAGGACAGATATTAATGTTATGAGACATGGAGAACAGCAGAGATTGATTTTGTGAAGAAGATCTATGCTTTACTTGAGCACTAAATGAGGGAAACCAGTAAGTTATGGGAGAAGTTGTAGTCGCTGTGGTAAAATAAATTACAAAAATGAGAGAGAGTGAAAATAGAAAACAGAAAAAGAGCATTAGCAAGAGATTCTACATCTCGATCTGAATGCAGTCCCAACTACTGGAAACATAACTCACCCCAGCAGAGGATGCACCACCAAAGAGTGGGGCTTGTCTAAACCCTGGATGACGGCATTCTTGAACGATCCATCCAGCCTGGCTACATTGATCTGCTTCTTATTGGCATCATAGCTGGTCCAGAAGAGGTTTCTGGACACCCAGTCCACTGCCAGCCCGTGAGCGTTAGGAAGGTCTGTTAGAATCACAACGGAACAGTTTGGGTTTCAGACAGATACAGAAATTTGTTACAATCCATTGAAATCAAAGCAAAGAATTGCAATGAAGATGAAATTGAAGATAATCCTGTTTCTTGTTCTCACCAGCAGCCACAACAGTCTCCACCCCGGTGCCATTAATGAAAGCTCTCTTGATCGTCTGTGTTCGAACATCTGACCAGTAGATGCGATGCTCCACAGCGTCAAAGTCCACCACGGTCACGTTGTCGATGTCCGGCACGGTGAAGGAGATGATGTAATTGTAGTAGGGGTTGTCAATGTCTACACCCCGGATCTCGATCTGCCGGGCATATAGAAGGAACTTACGGGATTCTGTGAGGAAGAAAGGAAACATTTTTAATTGCATTTTTAGGAATTATATAATATTCTAGTATATTAGTATTCTAGTATTGGTATATATTTCTACAAATAATATGGGGCTAAGAGAGAAAATGTTTTTTTCAAACAAGCGAATGTATAAAAGCTCCTGTTCTTGTGCTCAATTCTGACCCACCGATAAATATTTACACACACATTGGGATTGAAAGTCGGGTTAAGGCTTTTTCTCTCTTTACGTGCCACACAATCAAAGAGCGGAGCAAGATGGATCCCAAGAGACGGAAGCTCAAGAGGGTCAAACTAACTAGTCAGTAACATGTTGCCCTTGTCAAGCCTTTATTAGCTACTGAGGGATGGAAGGTGGAGATAACAAATCCTTCCTCTCGGTCAAAATATCATCCAGCTTAAATTTAGTTTACTCTGTCCAAGCGCAGAGAAAAACATCAGCTCGCCACATGGGGATTCCTGTGTGATGGGTAATGCATCAGACGCCCTCTAATCCAATTATTCTTCAATCTACACTGCTGTG